TTTTTTTAATTGTTTCTTTCTTTCTTTTTTTTTTTTTTCTTTCTGAACCTCTTTTTATCTCCTTTCTCCCCCCTCACGATTTGGGATCTCTTCTGATTTGGCTAAAGCATATTTTCCTGGGGTTGTTGCCACCCTTTTAGTATTTTACTTGCTCCTTCATCTACTCTTATCTGGACAAAATGACAAGGCGGAAAAATTCACCACAAAAAAAAGAACAAGAGGCAGTACCAAAGGCTAGGGACCTAATCAATACAGACATTGGTAATATGTCAGATCTAGAGTTCAGAATGACGATTCTCAAGGTTCTAGCCGGGCTCGAAAAAGGCATGGAAGATATTAGAGAAACCCTCTCGGGAGATATAAAAGCCCTTTCTGGAGAAATAAAAGAACTAAAATCTAACCAAGTTGAAATCAAAAAAGCTATTAATGAGGTGCAATAAAAAATGGAGGCTCTCACTGCTAGGATAAATGAGGCAGAAGAAAGAATTAGCGATATAGAAGACCAAATGACAGAGAATAAAGAAGCTGAGCAAAAGAGGGACAAACAGCTACTGGACCACGAGGGGAGAATTCGAGAGATAAGTGACACCATAAGACGAAACAACATTCGAATAATTGGGATTCCAGAAGAAGAGGAAACAGAGAGGGGAGCAGAAGGTATATTGGAGAGAATTATTGGAGAGAATTTCCCCAATATGGCAAAGGGAACAAGCATCAAAATCCAGGAGGTTCAGAGAACCCCCCTCAAAATCAATAAGAATAGGTCCACACCCCGTCACCTAATAGTAAAATTTACAAGTCTTAGTGACAAAGAGAAGATCCTGAAAGCAGCCTGGGAAAAGAAGTCTGTAACGTACAATGGTAAAAATATTAGATTGGCAGCAGACTTATCCACAGAGACCTGGCAGGCCAGAAAGAGCTGGCATGATATATTCAGAGCATTAAACGAGAAAAACATGCAGCCAAGAATACTATATCCAGCTAGGCTATCATTGAAAATAGAAGGAGAGATTAAAAGCTTCCAGGACAAACAAAAACTGAAAGAATTTGCAAATACCAAACCAGCTCTACAGGAAATATTGAAAGGGGTCCTCTAAGCAAAGAGAGACCCTAAAAGTAGTAGATCAGAAAGAAACAGAGACAATATACAATAACAGTCACCTTACAAGCAATACAATGGCACTAAATTCATATCTCTCAATACTTACCCTGAATGTTAATGGGCTAAATGCCCCAATCAAAAGACACAGGGTATCAGAATGGATAAAAAAACAAAGCCCATCTATATGTTGCCTACAAGAAACTCATCTTAAACCCGAAGACACCTCCAGATTTAAAGTGAGGGGGTGGAAAAGAATTTACCATGCTAATGGACATCAGAAGAAAGCAGGAGTGGCAATCCTTATATCAGATCAATTAGATTTTAAGCCAAAGACTATAATAAGAGATGAGGAAGGACACTATATCATACTCAAAGGAACTGTCCAACAAGAAGATCTAACAATTTTAAATATCTATGCCTCTAACGTGGGAGCAGCCAACTATATAAACCAATTAATAACAAAATCAAAGAAACACATGGACAATAATACAATAATAGTAGGGGACTTTAACACTCCCCTCACTGAAATGGACAGATCATCCAAGCAAAAGATCAACAAGGAAATAAAGGCCTTAAATGACACACTGGACCAGATGGACATCACAGATATATTCAGAACATTTCATCCCAAAGCAACAGAATACACATTCTTCTCTAGTGCACTTGGATCCTCTTCCCTGTCTGTTGTGGGAAGTCAGAGTCATAAAACAAACAAACAAACAAAAAAGTTGGAAGAATGGAAGATGTGGTTCCAAAGGCCATTTCTCGAATCATCTAGAAGCATTTGATCCACAAACTATTAGGGACCCTCTCCAAACACCTCCATACTGGGCAGTAAACAGGGCAGCTTGAAACCCTGCAATGGCAGTGGGGAGAGCTGCTTCTACTGCTTCTGACACAAAGCATGATTCTTTGAATTGGCCTCATGCTTCTAGACCATAAGCAAACATGAGCAGTGTGGCAAAGTGCATAGTGTGTGGTGGGGCCTTAGGTCAGTGGACTCGGGTTAAATCTTGCCAAGTTATTGGACCTCTTTTCGTCTCGGGTTAGTCCTCTGAGAAAGAGAGTAATGATAATGTTTACCTTGCAGGGTTCTGAGCATTAAGTGAGATGTTGCTGGAAAACTCTTTGGCACATGCTTGTCTTTACTTATTGAATGATCTGTGAACGAAGTCAGGGAAACACATTTTAAAAGCATTGGACAGTTTTCTATGCATTTTATTTACCTCTTCTAGTTTTCTATCCCCTGTGGCCTGATATAATTTCCCATGACCTTGATTAAATGCTGGTCATGGGCTGAGTACCTCCATTGGCTTGGTACCAGGGACATTGCTACAAATCTCCAAGGAAACTGTGTCCATGAGAACACCAATCACATGGCTGATTCAGCCAGGAGGAGGAGGCTGGGTATGGCATTATTTAATTAGAGGCACACAGGGTCCAACAATGCTATTCTTTAATTTCCCCTCATCTCCCCAAGTGCCTCTTTTGGGGGCCAGTGGAATTTGTTATTAGGAGACACTATTTGGAAGAGACCAGATGGGGCCTTGCCTTCGTATGGTCGTTAAACTTCTAAAGCCAAAAACATTTGCTTGTGATGATGGGGCTGTTCTTCATTGTTTAACCATATGACTCAGAAGCTTCTTTTTTTCCCCTCCCCTTTGGAGGATTCTAAACTCATTTATTTCTCAGCCTGAGACTTTTTCCAGCACTTTAGCCAATTCTTGGTTTCTGATATTTGGGGGAAGCACATCCATTTATCAACCTGAGAGGATTAAGCACGAACTGTACTTATGCCGAAAAGAAAAATGAAAGCAAAAGGGGAGGCTGAAGCCTTTGATGCTGATTAGCCTACCATGTAAACCAACATATTTTAGATATACACCAGTATTAAAATACCTTTGTGTAATGCTTTTTAATGCTCAAATCCTAATTCTGTTCGTCTTACTGATCTCGTGAGGTTACCCATATCTCCATTCTGTAAATGAGAAAGCAGAGGGAGACATATAGCAGTCAAGTGATTCGTCCAGGTTTAGTCACTGAACAACTATTGAGCCGCTATGCCAGGTACCATGCTGGGTGCCGGTGACCCAGAGATGGGCGGGACAGGACGGTCGGTCCCTGACCCATGCAGTTGATAGCTTTATGGTCACATGCTAAGTGGACAAATGGCGGAGGAAATGATGGCTTCCAATTTCTGGTCCAGTGGAAGATCAACACCCACTATGGGAGTCTACCAAGTTCAACATTTTCTTAACTCCTCAAGTTTACCTATGCTCCTTGCTTGATCTTTCCTTTCATTTGAAATCTCATGACAGCTCACATGCCTTCATGATGCCATTGAAAGCAGGTACTTAATGAATCCTTTCTTTGCATGGAGTATCATGTTTCTTTTGTTGACCTTCTGCCTTTTGTTTTGGGTTGATAGGTGCGAAGCACTAGAAGGTGCGAGAGAACTAAATGACTCATCCCTTGCCATCGTGGTGAGGCAAGGCATACCTAGAAACATCCAGAGAACGAGGCAGCGTTAGAACTGTGTGTGGCTCTGCACATATATGGACATCATAAAGCATTAGCACCAGGCAGTGGTAGGAAGGTGCTAATTTTGCAGTATAAAAAAAAATACCCTAAGTGGGAGAGCAGAACAATACAAAACAAAACAAAAACAGAGAAGAGATCAGTAAAAGCTGGAGATTACCAAGTGACCCAGTGAGAAGTTTTGCTCCCCCAGGAGTCTGAGTATCTATGGGGAAATCAGACTCCTAAAATGTGAGCACTGAAGGGCATTTCAAGGACTGTCTGTCCAACACCCTCCAAGTGAAAGAAGGAACATTCAGAGAGGTTGGCTGAGGTCACAGAGCCAGTCTGGGATGGAAACACATCTTGAGCCATGTCTGGCTCTGCGTGGAGAAGCGGGTGAAAGGAAATGGAAGGACGTGGGCTCCAAAACCCCCATCTGGGGCCCACCGGGGGAGGCTTCCATGTTACCTCACACGTGGAGCTGAAGCAGCGTCTGTCCTAACGCTCACCAGAAAAAGAGATTAGGGGCCAAAAAACAGCTACCAAGTAGTTGTAGGAAATGGCACGACATAACCGAGTTTGAGAATATGACATCTTTTGTTTAAACCACTGGATTTATTTGCACTTTTTTCATATCTGCTGAGCATTTGATCATCATTTTGTCTTAACCCCCTCTGCCTCAGGGCCTGGTACTCAGAAGATGTTCAGCATTGTTAATTATTATCTTCATAGTAATGACTCATGTAGCAAGTCTGGGGGGCCCTCGTGGCGGTGGTTATTTGTCAGGCAAGTATCCAAGCAGAGCAAATATCTTAGGATAATTTGCCTACAGGTGATTAAGGTGAAAATATCTATATACTAGTGGGGCGCCTGGGTGGCTCAGTGGGTTAAATCCTCTGCCTTCAGCTCAGTTCATGATCCTAGGGTCCTGAGATCTAGCCCCACAACGGGCTCTCTGCTCAGTGGGGAGCCTGCTTCCCCCCCACCCCGCCCGCCTGCCTCTCTGCCTACTTGTGATCTCTGTCTATCAAATAAATAAAATCTTTAAAAAAAAAATCTATATACTAGTAAGAACTTGAATATAGTTCCTATGGTATATAAAAATGCATCAAATGAGGTTGCAAAATGTAAAGTACTTTCAGGTACTTGGTGTTTATTACTTATTACAGTAACATATTTATGTAATAAATATGTATTTATTATTTTATAAGTATTATTATAAATTTAAATTTGCCTTTATCAGGTGAGCTGAGAAAGTAGCTCATAATTCCCACAGAACAGGTTGTTTCAAGACAAGAAAACTATCCACATTTTAGGCCTTCTCCATACATTTCAGAGTTGTCTTTTATGTGACCCCTTTAAGTGATTCTTTCACCGATGGCCACTCAGTAATATAAAAGGCACAAGGTCGGCAGCCTGGTCAGACCATGGGACCAGTCTCAGGAAGAAAGACAGTCTCTCTGGACTTCACACCTTCCCCATAGTGTCAGCATCTGGAAGGCAACCCACGGTGTGGCCTTCAGGGAGTAAACCTGGGTTTGTTAATTTTGACCTAATGGCATGTTTGGTTTCTTATATGTGCGATGGAATTTTAAAATCTACACATCCCAGCAACTTAATTTACACACACATACACACACCGTTTCTTTTATAAGCAAAAGTAGTATTTTTAGGGCCTTTGTGGTGAAACTTGATAGATCTTATTCTGAGGGAGAAGGTTGAGGACCCCCTTCATGAATATGGTTCATTTATTTGACTGGCTACTTTCCCTAGAATAGCCCCAGGGCTTTGGACCCTGCTCATGAAAAGCCAACCCAGGTAGGGAATCTCAGAGCGGACCCTGGGCAGGGGAGGGGGTGGCACAAGGTTGGGGGCGGTGGGGTGAAGGGTGGAGGAAGGGGTTACTCAGCGTTTGGACGGCACAATTGGGCCTCAGCAGTTCGAGGCTCTGCCTGCCCAGTGGTGTTCCCAGGCCCCACACCCTTGCAACCCACTCCTCTTCCCCTTCTTTCTTTTCCCCAGATGTATTTCTGTTTCAGGTCCCTAAATTATAAAATAGAACTCGGGGTGCCTGGGTGGCTCAGTGGGTTAAGCCTCTGCCTTCGGCTCAGGTCATGATCCCGGGGTCCTAGGATCGAGCCCCACATCGGGCTTTCTGCTCAGCGGGGAGCCTGCTTCCCCCTCCTTCTCTGCCTGCCTCTCTGCTACTTGTGCTCTCTGTTTGTCAAATAAATAAATAAAATCTTAAAAAATAAATAAATAAATAAATAAAATAGAACTCAATTTCTTGAAACATTATATGGGAAAGACTAAAAGAAAACTATGACCTACCCAAATGGAGTATTTTTTTTTCCTTTGGCCTTCGTAACATTTTCTTCTTTCCCAACCCCTTATTGCTTATGCTCAGACTCAAACTAATATCTGCAAAAGGATGAGTTAAGCAATTATTATGACCCTGAATTTAACACTTTCAACTAAGATAATACTTCTCATTGATTTTAAGTCCCGCCTCCATCTCCTTGTTTTCCTAGCTCATTCTCCCAATGCTACACTTCCATCAGTCTTGGGCACATACGTTCCAACTAAGGACTTACGCCCCTGAGCAGGACGCGGGCAGGATCCATGTTATTAATGACCTACTTGAATCTAATTGTTGGACCTGCTAATCTCCATGAAGTTTGCACATATCACGTTCCTCTCAAATTCCTCAAAAATTCTGGTTCACCTCTTGACTGCTCCCAGAGAATGGTTGAGGAAGAAAAACATTCCCGCCAATGAATTACCAGGACTTGGGGAAATCCTATCCCCATTATAATCTTTGTCACACCACAAAGTTCTACATTGCAGGTGACAGGACCCCACTCCCCGCACTGACCTGAGCAGCCTTCTCTCCCAGTAGCCCCCAGGCACAGGGGGATTGGACAACTCACCCACCTCTACCCTGGGAGTGTTCCTGGACCCTTCAGCTAAAATGTTCCACCCTGCTGTAACAGAGCCCTTGGTGAAAGGCAAGATCTAGTGAGCTCATGACCATTTTCACTAGCATGAGGCTGACCAGTGACCTCAGGAGGAGATCTTCTGTAATTCCCAAAGCCTATTTTGAATTTGTATGAGAAGGAGGTCAATTATTTTGCACAAATATTATTTTAAATTTATAGAACGGATGTCAAATGATTCTCCATTCCCCAAATTACTCTTTTTCTTTTGTAAATCTTGTCTTGCAGGCTGATATTGAAAAATATGCTGTGAACCCCAAAAGATTCATAGTAAACTGAATCTGAAAAGCAAATCTCCAGTTCATGGGGAGGTGGTTGGTTAAAAAAGGAGAAGTTGGTGTTACATGGAGCATTGTAATATGTGGACATAGAGAACATGGTCAGATTTAAAACACACACACACACACACATTTTCACAGAGCCAACCAAAATTTTAGGAGTGACTTGGGAGCAAACTTTTTTTTTTTTTTTTTAAAGTTCTGAAGACTTTGGATCCCCTCACCCATGTTCTACTCACCCCCTAAATGTCCAGTTGTTCCAAGTGTTTGTTGCTCATTTTTTCTCTAAATTTTAAGGATGATGGAGGTGGGGTTCAGGGGACAGCAGGGACAAAGAGCATGAAGACACGCAGATCCCAAGGGAGCTTGAGGAGGCGTGATGGTCTCAGAGGACACATCAAGACCTCAAGCCACCAAAACCAAGTCATGAGATTGCTAATGACACTCTTATCCGTTATTAAAATTTTGCCTTTTATCTTAAATGCACTAGATTCTTCTAGTTTCTGAAGAAGTGTGAATATGAGGAATTTTTCCTTCTGATGGTGAACCGTTAGCAGACATTACTGTTGTTCGCAGATATTCAAGAACGTTTACCTTTTCTTTAGTTGAGATTTCTGTAGCCTCAGAACCAGAATGAAACTATCAGCTAACGGATTTGATGTAGCCGGGACAATCTTAGGTTGCCAGGATCAGCACGGCCGATCATGACAACGTCAGCTGGCCCGATGCTCAGATGGACCAGTCTCCACCCAACTCACTCTGGGCCTGTCTTCCTCTCCCCAGATCCTGAGTAACCTGGTGATGGAGGACCTCCTGCCAACCCTTCAGACGGACCTTCTGCCGAAAATGAAGGGGAAGAAGAATGACAGAAAGAGGGCCTGGCTCGGCGTAAGCCATGACTTTGCTATGTGACTGTGCTATTCAAAATGAACATCCCTTTCCCTCCTTTTTTTTAGGGCAGTTTCTTGGTTTCTTTCTTTCTCTCTCCCTTCCTTCATTCCTTCCTTACCTTACCTTCCTTCCTTCTTTCCTTCTTTCTTCTCTTCCTCCTCCTCCTCCCTACCCCTTCCTTCTCCTCCCCCTCCTCCTTTTTTTTTTTTTTTTTTTTTTAATAATTCCTTCCCTGGGTGGAGAACTGCCCACCTTGACTCTGCCCAGTCTCACTTAACATGAGGATTAATCCAAACAGGCTCAAATCCGGGAAGAAAAATGAGTGTGCCTGCAGTCGTGTTTACGTTAAGAGAATCTGCACTTAGCCCTCCCCGCTCTACTTGACTCCTGCAGGCGCTCACACACGACAGAGCCCCGATTTCTGTGCTGTTCTCTGTTGCAGCTTCTTGAGGAAGCCTACAACCTGGTTCGACACCAAGTTTCAGAAGGATTAAGTGCCTTGAAGGAGGAGTGCCGTGCTCTGACGAAGGGCCTGGAGGGGACCATCCGTTCAGACATGGATCAGATCGTGAACTCAAAAAACTTTTTAATTGGAAAGATCAAAGGTCAGTGGAGATAATCCAGGCTCTTACAGCTAAATGAGCTGCACACACAGTCATATTTCATGATTTCAGAGGAAAACTGAATTGGCAGAATTGGGAAGAGCCGATACCGGGTGTAATGGTCATATGCTAGCAAGGGCTGGACCTTCCCCAGCAGGAAGGAGAGTTTGCTTCTTGCCTGTGGTGGTGCCTGCGTATTCTGATGCCCTACACACCGCCCCTGTTGTGGTGCTTCTCACACTAATTGTATTGGCTTCTATGCGCGCCTCTTCTCCACCATAAGTTGTCTAAGAACAGGACCATGTGGTCCCTGTTTCACTCAGGCATACCCAGGGCCTAGTACCATGCCTGGTATATGCAGATTCTCAGCAAATACTTGAACGGATGAATAAATGGATTTTCTCTTCACAAGAAGAAAACTGGCTTAGCGTGGATAAATGTAGATTCTAGTCTCAAGGGCAACATGGCCAGTCAGGTGTACTTGGGAGGGTCACTTGACTTCCATGTGCCTTAGTGTCCTCCTCTGCAATCAGGAGGGAGGGTCCCTGAGATTGAGGTCTGTCAGCTGTGGGCCCTGACCTGAATCGAGCCCACTGCCAATTTCTGTAAATAGCATTTCATCGGGACACAGCCGTGCCCGTTCAATTATGCATTGCCTGTGGCTGCGTTCATGCTACAGAGCAGAGTTGAGTGATCGGAACCGAGACCTCCTGGACTGCAAGGTCGCACATGTTCTCTCTCTGGCCTTTGGCAGAAAAGTGGTTGCCTGTGCCCTCACAAGAGGCCTGAGAGGGCCGCTAAGGAATTCCGCAGGATAACATGTTATCGGCTGAAATGTTACTGTTAATTCCTACATCCCAACAAGCACCGCACCCCGGAAGTCATTTCCGAGAAGCACATGGACTCCTCTGGGATGGTTTAGCGACAGTCTTCTTACATTGTCATTTTTCAGATTCTTTTTTTGAAGATTTTTATTTATTCATTTATTTGACAGAGAGATCACAAGTAGGCAGAGAGGCAGGTGGTGTGTGGGGGGAGAAGCAGGCTCCCCGCTGAGCAGAGAGCCCGATGCGAGACTCGATCCCAGGACCCTAAGATCATGACCTGAGCAGAAGGCAGAGGCTTAACCCACTGAGCCACCCAGGCGCCCTCATTTTTCAGATTCTTCACTCACTTGCTCATCTGCTCGCTCACTCATTTAAAAAAATAGGTACTAGGTGCTTTCTGAGCAAGGTGCTGGGGCTTTAGCAATGAATAGGGGACCCAGTTCCTGTACTCAAGAAACTTAGCACCTGACAGGGGCTGTCTACTTGGTGGATTACGCTCTGCCTTTCCGGCCCCGTTCACACCGCAGCCCAGCTCGCCTCTGAGCCCTTCCAGTGGTTCTTCTGCGAGAGAGTAGAGAGCGGGCTTGACGGCGGCATGGGGGTGCGTGTCTGTTTCCGTGCGGGTCTGTCCACGCCGTACCCTCCAAGGCACAGACAGATTAGCCTCAGCGCTACGTGTTCACTATTTTCCATGTCTCTCATTCCCCTGTTAGCACAACTGATGGAGAATTGACTCTATTCAAGTGCTTGTATAACTTAAAACCTCCAGCACCCAGCTTCCCAGTCACGCCTGAATTCAACCAGTTTCTCTCTCTCTCTCTTTTTCCTAGTCTCTGTGGCTCCAGTATATCCCACATAAAATGGAAAAACACTCTGCCCTAGACTAGTCTTTGTCTCCTAAAAGGAACTTTGAAAGGAAGTCACGATCAAGTCTTTTTAAAAGGGAATATCAGGGGACGCCTGGGTGGCTCAGTTGGTTAAGCAGCTGCCTTCGGCTCAGGTCATGATCCCAGCATCCTGGGATCGAGTCCCACATCGGGCTCCTTGCTCGTCAGGGAGCCTGCTTCTCCCTCTGCCTCTGCCTGCCATTCTGTCTGCCTGTGCTCGCTCGCTCTCCTTCTCTCTCTCTGACAAATAAATAAATAAAATCTTAAAAAAAAAAAAAAGGGAATATCAGAAGCACATTTTAACTGAGGCTCTGGTTCTCCACCTTTTAGAACAATAAAGTACAGCTGAGTTTGAACAACACAGGTTTGAACTGCACAGGTCCACTTATGGGGGGGTTTGGATAAATACAATCCAGTACTATAAACATATTTTCTGTTCCTTATGATTTTCTTAGTAACATTTTATTTTCTCTAGCTTATTTTTTTTTTAAGATTTTATTTATTTGACAGAGGCAGGGCGGTCACAAGCAGGCAGAGCGGCAGGCAGAGGCAGAGGGAGAAGCAGGCTCCCTGCTGAGCAGAGACCCTGATGGATGTAGGGCTCGATCCCAGGACCCTGTGATCATGACCTGAGCTGAAGACAGATGCTTAACCGACTGAGCCACCCAGGAGCCCCTTCTCTAGCTTATTTTATTGTAAGAATACAGGATATAACACCCACAACATACAAAATATGTGTTTGTCAACTGTTTATGTTATGGGTAAGGCTTCTGGTCAACAGTAGGCTATTAGGAATTCAGTTTTGGGGGAGTCAAAAGTTATACACAGATTTTCAACAACAGGGGGCGTGGTCAGCACCCCTAACCTCTGCATCGTTTAAGGATCAACTGTATACTTCGGACTGCGTCAGTAAAGGGCTTTGGGTTTTGAAAGAGCTTTGGGAGTACTAAGCAGTGATCTTCCCGTTTCCTCCCAAATGACTCTTGACGGTCAAGCAACCAATCTTTAGTCCTGCCCGACAAGTATTTCTTCATTCAGTAAGCATTTATCCTGCTCCTGCTGAATACAAGGGCTACGAGGAGTCAAAGAAGACAACATGATTTCACAACAGGAGGATATGAGGCATGTTACAGATTCTGAAACAGGGGGAAAAGATGGGAAAGGTGCCACTGGAGAAGCAGGAACTGAGGACACTGTGGTTCCCAGCCAGGAACTAGGTCAGCTTCAAAAAACACTGCAGGCTCCTGTAACAATAGCGCTGTTTTCTTGTCGGTTAATGGGAAAAAGGATGATGCCGGCAGGTGGGACGAGGGCTCACAGCGAGTGAGGGCTTCCCGAGGGCCACCTACAGTTCCAAGCACCTGAACACAGTCAGCCCACGTCATCGTCACCCCAACTGCCAGGAGTCATTCATCCCATGATCCCCACCTACCCGATAAGAACACCGAGGCAGAGATTAAGTAACTTGGCCCAGATTCCAAAACTGAGTCAGGTTCCAAACCCCTCTAATCCCAACACTTCCCGTCTTTGTCCCTCTGCTCCGTGGCTCTGCCGCAGCGGCCCTAACTTTGGGATGGTTTGTGAGTCCATATTTATCACAACTGTGTCTCTACACGCCTGGAAGTTAGCAGATCATGTCCCTGTGGGGTGTCAAATGTATGCCCTCCAGAAGGAAGCAGCGACAGGCGGCCCACCACTCAGGGAGCTCCGTGGTGGTTCCAAGGGCATGCGACTGTCTGCGTGGGTGAGGTGTATACTGGGTCTTGAACAGGTGAGGGAGATGTTCACAAGCAGAGGAGGAGGAAGGAAGGCCCAGCTGAAAGGAGCACAACAAAGGCACAGAGAGGAGGCTGCAACCCGCGCTGGTACACAGGCATCAGCAGGGAGCAGGCAGAGGAGAGCAGGGTCGCCATGGCCCCTGCCTGTGTCCGTTTCCTCCCCGCTCAGTAAGTGAATCTCACCAGCCGCCACTAAATCTTTACTGCATACGACCTGTGTTCATGACTAGTCTGAAATTTCTATTAGGTGCTTTTCAAACAGTTCTTCTCTCCAAGTTCATTGATAAAAAGGTCCTTTATTCTCCTGACACACAATTTTGCATTTTGGTATCAAGCCAGTCGTTTTTAGAAGTCACAGATCATTTCATCTTTAAATCATACAATCAAAAGGGTTTTTTTTTCCCCTAGCAGTTCTATGACCTCTTTAATATTTTATATACCAAATATTTGTGAGTTACTCATAATATGAATAGTCATATCAGATTCTCCAAGTAAGGGGCAGTCTGATCCTCCATACCTGTGAGATATTTCTGCAAACCGAGAGAAGAATGGGCCCCATTCATCTCCCTGTAAGCACATTATTTGCCAATAAAGGATTAAGAAATACACTTGAAGTGTAGTCCTTGATCCGTAAGTTAAGGTGTGACTTTGGTCAAGCCCTGGGACATCTCCAGGCCTCTGATTTTCCATGTATAAAATGGAAGGATTGAACACCCAGATACGCTTGTCCTTCCGTTCTTGGTTCCGTGATACTGTGACGAGGGCCAGGTGACTTACCAGCGCTACAAAGCTAACCTTCCAGTGTACAGAGCAAGCTCAGGTCTTTTCCGGCTCAGCCTTCCCTCACTACATGTGCTTTCAAACCTGGCTAATAATGACCTTCACCTTAGCACTTAAAAAAAAAAAAAAATGCAGATTTCCAAGTCCTATCCGGACTTTATGCTCTTCCTCTTTCATTTATTTTTTTTTTAAGATTTTTATTTATTTATTTGACAGAGAGAGACAGTGAGAGAGGGAACACAAGCAGGGGGAGTGGGAGAGGGAAAAGCAGACTTCTGGCTGAACAGAGCTCAATGCAGGGCAGACGTGCTCACGACTGAGCTCCCCAGGCCCCCCAGTGTTCTTCCTCTTTTAAATCAAAGAGTAGGATTTGCCTCTGGGAAGTGTGGTTACACTTTTTCATCTCTCTTTATGATTTTTCTGTGCTCTCTATATTTTTGTCATCGTGCACGTTTTCTGTGATTAATGGGAAAAAATAGCCTTTTTTAAAAAAACTTGGGGGTGGGGGTGGGAGGTGGAGTGGTGTTTGTTTTCAATGGAATCTGTTTCTATACGCCCAAGAAAAAACTGTGTTCAAGTTTTTAAAAAGTCTCTTGAGGAGGGGAAGGGGGAATTGAATTATATGAGCTGATTAACTCTTAGAGAAATTAATTAAAACTTAATAAGTTGTTATGTACAAATATTGAGTCATTACGTTGTACAGCTGAAACTGATATAATGTTATACCTCAATTTAAAAACTTAGTAAATCGTGTTTTTTAGAAGACAAATTATGCACCCAGAATGATAATGATGAGAGTTAAGAGGTGGATTGCCAGCATTTTCTGTTTTCTGTTAGGCATTGCGTGATCACAGGGGCCAGCCAGAAAAGTGCACTTCATCCTTGGGCAGAGGAAAGCTTGGGGAGGGGAGGGGTGGTTTGTTCCAATTCTGCAAACATCAAATGGCTTTCCCTTCTGGTGACTGCTGGCACAGGACTCTCTGTGCTGGTCTGTCTTGCTCATTTGAGCTTGCCTGGGCTGTTAAGTGGCTCTCTGGGGCACTGCCCACCCCTGGTCTGGCTCCAGGGACTTTGAACCCAATTTTGCCCATAATAAGTGATGGTTTTCTGCCTATTTCCTATCTCAGCCATGGTGGCCCAGCCCGCAGAAAGAAGCTGTGCAGAGAATGTGCAACCGTTCTTGGCGTCCATTCTGGAGGAGCTCATGGGGCCAGTGAGTTCAGGATTCAGTGAAGTGCGCTCACTCTTTGAAAAAGAAGTGGATGAACTTAGCCAGAATTTTCAGACCACCAAAGACAGCGCCCAGCTTAAGGAGGTAAGATATGGAGCCAAGGAACTGAGTGTGAATGGTCTGCTTGGGGCTGCCTTTTCCTTGGGCCTTTTTCTGCATTTGTGCACTCTTTACTTTCTTCCTCCCTTCTAACCACTACCCCCTTCTATCCATTCATCTATTTCTTCCATTCAGCCAGCCACCCCATTCATCTATCCATTCACCTGATTTCCTTTATTAATGGTTTTCAAGTTGCAAAAATAATAATATGTTGGTGCAAGTGAAACTACATATTTTATATATATATAAATATTACATATGTTATATATTATTATAATTATATGTTATATATAATATATATTACATATATGTGTGATATATATTACACATATATGTAATATATATATATATAGAGAGAGAGAGAGAGTATATGGGCAAATTGATCACCCATGATGTGGAAAGACATTAATGTTCAAAGACAATGGCCAAGAAAGAATTCTTGAAACGTCTTTGGTGCAAAAAAGTGGCTTTATTAAAGCACGGGGACAGGACCCGTGGGCAGAAAGAGCTGCACCGTGGTCATGAAGAGTGCCCCATTATATACTTTCACGTTGGGAGGACATTAGGGATATGTAAGTCTCTGAGGAATTTTGGAAGCTAATTTTCCAGGACCTTGAGGGGCTAGCTATTGTTAGGAAAGGATCATTTATTACTGTCTTATAAAAACCTGAGTCATGAGACCCTTCAGATGCATATCGGTGGGTCTCATGCTTGGGGGATGATTGCCAACTTGTGTCTTGCCAGGGGTAGAGATAAAGGAAGTTTCCAAAGGCAAGTTTATGTGTTAAAGTAGACTCACAGGATCCTAGGCGTTGGGCGTAGATTGGCTTTGCCCTTAGTGAAGAATTAACATTGAATCCCTAGAATAACGTCATTCTGCATGTTCCAAGGACTTGTCAATGGGCTGTAAGTAGCAAGGAAATTTAATAATTTTTCCCTTGCTTTTGTTTCCCACATCAACCCATGTCCACCCCAACTTCTAGGCTACCTCTACTCCAGACCCCCTGAATTAACAAATACAAATTAACTTAGAATATGTTTTTACATGCTTGTTTCTTGTTCATACAAATATAGAAGTATAGATCCTCATTGATATAAATTTTGTTTGTTGATTTGTTTCCAAAAATACAGACTCGTGATGAAAACAATGTTTCTCAAAGTGTAGTCTCCGGACCGGTACGGTCCTTCCCCAGCTATTAAAAGTGCAAATTCTCAGGCCCCCACCCACAATCTCTTGAGTCAGAAGCTCGGGGGGCTCCACCCGGCATTCTGTTTCACAGGCCTCCCCAGGATGTGAGGCACCCTCACGTTCAGGAAACACTCACATCACGAGGCAGCTTGGTTTGCACTGGACACATCACTATCAGTCCCTGGATCAAACCAGATACCTCTCTCTTCTTTTTTTTTTTTAACCTTTCTTATTTATTTATGCATGCATAAATATGTGACTATACATAAACAAGATACATTTCATAAATACTTTGAACTTTTCCTTTGCAACCTTTTTTAAAAACTTGCCTTTACCTTCTCTCCCTCCCCCACCACCCACCTTCCTTCAAGTAACCAGTGTTAATCTTAGCCTATACTATTCTGTACTTTTCCCCCTGCTTTTTTAAAAGATTTTATTTATTTTTATTTTTGTGTAGTTTTTTTTTTTCTTTAAAGATTTTATTTATTTATTTATTTGTCAGAGATTGAGAAACAGCAAGTGAGCACAAGCAGGGAGAGCAACACGCAGAGGGAGAAGAAGGCTCCCTGCTGAGCTGGGAGCCTGATGTGGGACTCGATCCCAGGGCTCTGGGATCATGACCTGAGCTGAAAGCAGCTGCTTAACTGACTGAGCTACCCAGGCATCTCTAGATTTTATTTATTTATTTGACAGAGAGAGAGAGAGAGAGACAGCAAGAGAGGGAACACAAGCAGGGGGACTGGGAGAGGGAAAGCAGGCTCCCGCTGAGCAGGGAGCCTGACGCAGGGCTCGATTCCAGGACCCTGGTATAATGACTTGAGCTGAAGGTAAATGCTTAACGACTGAGCTACCCAGCCTTCCCCCTGCTTATTTAACTATAAAACATACACATTTATTGGCTTTTTTTTTCCAGATTGTTTGCTTTTTAAAAAAAAATGGGATTGTATTACAAATCCCACTCTTTATCAGTGTTCTCATTCAAAAAAATACCTTGTGAAACTCTCAAGTTAGCTGCTCTAGCTTTAAATCATTCTTTGTAATGGCTACATAATAGTTCATGTCTGAATGCACCATGATTTATTCAACTATCCAAATGTTGCTGACATCATGGAGAAAACTGTAATAAATAACCTTCCTACATAGAGTATACTCTGAAGCTTTCATTCCTGTGCGATAGATTCTCAAGACAGGTTTGCTAGGTTGAAAGGTGGGACTATTTCTCCTGTTAACAGATGTTTCCACTTGCATTTAAAAAAAAATGGATTTAAATTTTACATTTCCATCCACCGTGTATGACAGAGGACTTTCTTCCCCAAATGCCCATCAGCGTTAGGCATTACCACTCCTTTAAACGTTGGCCTGTCTGGTAGGAGCAAAGCAGCAACCCATTTTTCCTCTCTTGTCTGCTTAATTGTTATTTCTTAAAAATAGATGCATTTCATGTTGTGTGAGGAGGGACAAGTTTGATCCTGTGCGTTTGATCATTAATTCTACCTGGGTGTGGCTCCCCACAACTCCCTTCTCAGGGAGAGTGATGTGTTCTCTTTACAAACACAGTAGGAACGGGCCCTTTAGGAATTCCTACTTAGAGACACCTAGAACTCGAGCCTTGTCTCTTTTCTGTGACTTGAAAATCAGACAGCATGTCCTCTGTAATTCACAGTCACCCTGTGTTACTGCCCAGGTCTCCCTGGGCGTCCATTTTCAGCACCTGCCTGTCCTCTTTCTCTGCCCACCCCACCTGTTTCTTCTAGATATCCAGATTCAGGTTTTTTAAATTATTTGAAAATCAGCTTGGAAAATAGAAAGCATTCTGTCGGCAAGGACACCCACGGTGTAAGAGTAGGTTATTGAAAGCTGACGTCTTTAGCAGGGGGGTCCGTTGCCGCCTTCCTGCTGGAAGCCCTATGGCTTCATCGCTTGTGTGAACCAGAGGGGCAAGGATCCCAGTTTTTTAACTGGATGCCTCTCCCAGGCCAGGTCTCTTCCTACCACCCACCATAGAGAACCTATAGCAGAGGAAGCCCCCATGAACCCTGACAGAGCCTCAGAGAACTATGAAGATTCTGGCTTCATTCCTAGAGTCTCAGGGTCCAGAGGCACCCTGACCTTGTTAACGTAGGCTTTGGAGGTCCCCAGAGCCCAGCAGAAACTCCAGGTGCCAAAAAACCTACCTACCTAGTTCTCAAAGTCTGCAAGTCAGAGCCCAGAGTCCATCAGGAGCTAAGATTGGAGCCCCCAAATGCTTCCCTGGGTCCTCCCATCATCCAGTGGGTTCTTTTCAGTTTCTGCCCTAGCGATAGACCTGCCCCAGGGACCCCTGAAGGAGGCAAGTAAGACAACTGAAATGTCATAAATCTAGTGGCCTGAGAAGTGATTCACTCTACTAACATACATTTGATCATTTAGTATTTATGTAATACAGAATATGCATGTAATCTTGCTCCTGAGTTTGAAGGTTTTTAATGTTTCCCTTCCCCAAAACGTAGCATCTAGACCAGCTCATGAATCTTCCACTGGATTCCATGAAGATGGAACCTTGTTACAGTAAAGTCAACCTGCTCCAGGAGCGTTTGCAGGATCTCAAGAGCCGCTTCCGATTCCCCCACGTGGACCTGGTGGTCCAGAGGACACAGAACCACATGCAGGAGGTGGGAGTGGCCGGGGCCTCTGTCGGGGGTGAGGATGGAGATGGCAGAGAAACAAGGCCAGACTGGGGTGCTGGTGCAGCTCTGGCCAATGGGGCCCTTTTCTGTCGTCATCATGCTGAGTTGAGGATATCCTTGGTCCTTCCATCTGGCTTCATCTTTCTTCCATGTTGATGAACATCAGAAAGAAAAAAAAAATCTCAGGGAGATCCAGTAGCATTAATTGATAATTCCTTGATTTGTCAAACCAGCACTTTTAACCTCGGCTGCACACGAGAATTGTCTGGGGAGCTTTTAAGAAATGCTCATGTCTCGGCCCCACTCCCAGGAATTTCCCCCATCCACATTCCCACTGCTTCTAATACACAGCCAGAATGGAGAACTACCGGTTTACGTTAATTCCCTAACCCGGTTAAGAGTAAATCAGTCAATCAATCACAGCTTCATATTTGGATCTCTTGTGTCTACTTGGTAGTTTTCCTTTTCTCCCCCCACAAGGAACTTTTTCTCCACAAAGAAGCACAAATTCTTTCCGTATTATAGTGCTTTCTAAATGAAGAAGGGTGTGACCACTGAAACCAGAAGAACTCAGTTCTATTTCAGGGGTGTCCTGCGGGGAGATCACTCAGGGGCTGGGTGCTGTGCCAGACGCGCCCCCTCCTCAGAGACAGATGCTCAGATAAGGTCACTATAGTGTTGAGAGTGCTGGACAAAGCTGTGTGTGCATGCTTTGGGATCAGAGGCTTCGGGAAGAAAGGAACACTTGTTCCTTAAAAGTTATAGGGTGGATTAAGTGAGACACCTTATTACCTAACCTGGGAGTTGTGAAGGATTAAAGATGGACTGGGGGAGCAAAATCGGGCAATGGTTTAACAGAAGTCCCTTTGGTCATACTGAACCCTGGTGAAACCGATACAGGTACGAATACAGAGAATGAGAAATCAGAATCATTTCTGTTTCCTACCCCATGGGCACATCAGCCACCGTGCCCACCAAACCCCATCCCGGCCTCCCTTCCAGCCCCGCAGAGCAAGGAAGAGAAGTGAGGGGGTAAGTGAAGCGCAGAGAGCTGTGCTGGACTGGTTTGCATCCCCCCAAAAGCGGAAGTGCAGGATTAAAGCCGCCAAGGAGTAAGTGGGGAAGCCCCCCACTTCCCTTTGTCAAGCCTACGGACTCACCCAGGACAGGGGTGATGACTTACAAACTAGAGGAAGGGGCTGACCGCCGGAGAGGGCGGTATTCTCAATCCCATGGCCTCATGGGTTTTGCAGCTCAGAGCATAAGAAGAAGAGAGGAGGGAAAAATAGTGTATGCATACGTGCATAGGTGTGTGTGCGAGTGTGTAGTTCCCAGACTCTTACGGATCCCACTGGTGGCCCATTTATTTCATAACTAGGTAGGGGACTGAGGACCTGTTGCCCTGGGTGGCCCCAGATTAGTGCCTGGGGAGGGGGTCTGTGATGGTCATCCCCCCCTTCTCCGGGTGGAGACCCCAGCCTCTGACCAGGCGCTGTTTTGTGTCGCTTTCGGCTTCCAGCTGATGGAGAACGCGGTGTTCACCTTCCAGCAGCTGCTTTCCCCACACCTCCAGGGAGAGGCCGCCAAAACTGCAGTCGCCATCGAGAAGGTTAAGCTCCGAGTCTTAAAGGTAAAACCGGTGTCTCATTTGTGGGAAGCGTAAAACAAGTGTGACCCCCTGCTTCTTTTGTTAAGTGGAAGATGCCAAATTCTGGCTTTCACTCTCGCTGTTTGTAATCCTGCCCCCTTTCCTCGTGGCGGCAGCCATGGCTACCGCGCCGCGGGGGCCCCCCCAGCAGGACTTTCGCGCCTGCTCTGCCATCTAGTGGCAGCCGTAGGGACCACAGGTCCCCGGGATTCTTGTCCATCGCTCCAAGGGACCTGTTCTTGATAGAATGATTGCACTTGATATTTATTGGCTGTCCACTCTAAGCAAAGCGATGTGATAGGTATTACAGAAAATGTAAAAATAGGCAAGGTACAGCTTCCTTCTTCAAAGAGTTCACAATATAGTAAAACCCATATAAATTAGCCAACATTTTTTAGAAAAATCAAAATCTCCTGGCAATGGAAATACGAGAGAGAGAGAGAGAGAGAGAGAGAGAGAGAGACAGACCTGCCATATGAAATATTTGTTTGTTTGTTTTTAAAGATTCTATTTATTTATTTAACAGAGACAATGAGAGAGAGAACACAAGCAGGGGGAGTGGGAGAGGAAGAAGCAGGCTTCCCGCTGAGCAGGGAGACCAATGTGGGTCTTGATCCCAGGACCCTGAGACCATGACCCGAGCTGAAGGCAGACGCCCAAATGACTGAGCTACCCAGGCGTCCCTGAAATTGGTTTTGATGTGCTTACTGCTTAAGTATATATATCAAAATGGTTTTAATAATAGCAGTTTGCACATACATGATCTAGTTTTCAAGCTTTTTTGTTTTTAACCTATCCTGTTTTGTTTGATCCTCACAAGGACTTGTGAAATGATCAGAATATGTCTCCATTAAAAGATGAGGAAACTGACTCACTAAGAACTAGTGTGACTTACTTAAGCTCAACAGGCTAGTCAGTGGTGAGCCTAGAGCTAAAGCAATTCTTAAATTCAGTTCACTAATTTCTTAACTACCTATCCCCCTAAACAGTATCTTGGAGCAGAAGATCCCACAGAGCCTAGGAGGTGGCCCCTGAATTTTAGACCTAATCCTAATACCTCACAGGTAGTAGGAAACAGTGACAACTAAATTAATGAAATTAAAAGCAATATTTATGGGATGCCTCAGTTGGTTAAGCGTTTTCCTTTGGCTCAGGTCATGATCCCAGGGTCCTGGATTCGAATCCCACATCAGGTTCCTTGCTCACAGGAAGCCTGCTTCTCCCTCTGCCTGCTGCTCTCCCTGCTTGTGCTCTCTCTAGCTCTCTTTCTCTCACAAATAAATAAATGAAAGCTTTTTAAAAAATAAGAAAAGCAATATTTATTATGGGAACACAAGTAATAATGAACTTGCAATTGGAAAGAAAAGATAGTATCAATGTCAATTTCACTTCCAGTGTCAGGAAACTTCATATGTCCCTGGATAGTCCATTTCTTCTCTGGACACTTTGAGTTGCAAGAACATGCTTCCTAATGTGAACCCAAAGCTGTCACCACTGGTGATTCTAGTTCTATTCTCTCTGTTCGTGTCCCTCTCCCACATAGTGCCTTTGGTTGTTTGAATAGAGCTATAATTTTTGTCCAAAGTTATCAACTCCAGTATAAATGCCTTTGTCTCATTAACTATTCCATATTTGGCCTGACCATTCTGCTCACACGCCTGTGACTGTGTTCCATTGTATCTGTGACCCTTTTAAAGCGTCATCTAAAACCAAACTCTGGTTTCTAGGTTTGACTGTTTCATGCTAAACTTCCTCGGTTAACATGCCGCAATGTTAAAGTAGCTATGAGCCAGGCCCTCCCTTTCTTTGTGGAAATCATTACAACCCACTCATCCTGCTTTTTGGATGTAAAGTGAAAGAAATAGATGATCTCGGCTCCTACAGACCCACCCAGGACAGGGGTGATGACATACAAATTCACCCGCCATTTCTGTCCCCAACTTTTTTATAATGCAGAAGTTACTGTTTTGATCTTGCCTCAGTTTCCCTATCTATAAAAGGGAGGGTAAGATGGGTCTTTAATAGTCATACGCTCCACCCAAAGTAGGAGAGAATTGAGACCTTGGAAACACCGTCAGGGGCCTCAGAAATAGGGGGAAAAGGGAGACAAGTTGAGTGACTGAGTTTTTGTTTAAGCAAAAGTTAACAGATTGCAATGTTGCTATTCAGCATATGTTTCCGTCTCTGTATTGACAGCAATATGATTATGACAGCAGCACCATCCGGAAGACGATATTTCAAGAGGCACTGGTTCAAATCACACTTCCCACCGTGCAGAAGGCACTGGCATCCACGTGCAAACCAGTAAGAGGATGGATTACTCCAAAAAGCCGGCTTTTTTTGCTGTGAAGTCCGAGCACGGTCTTTTGCTAGGATGTGCTTGCAAACAGTAGACTAGACCAGGGTGGGGTCGGCACATTTTTTCTGCACATGGTCAGATAGTAAAGATTTGAGGCTTCGTGGGTCATACCGGTTTTGTTGCAACTACTCAGCTCTGCTAAGTGCAAGAGCAGACACAGGCAGTACGTTAACAATGGGCACTTCTGTGTTCCAATAAAACTTTATTTATAAAAGCAAACAGCTGCTGTATTGGCCAACACCTGGACTAGACAGACTCTCAAAGGTAATGATCTGACTTTGAGCCAAACGAAGGGTTGTCATAGAGCCCCTGAGGACACCAGGTGCTCCTCATCATAGTATGACTATTGGATACCACGTGTCCTCTGAAACTCGATCACTACATCCAGGAAAAGACCTTAAGTAACACAATTATAGAAGGATTTTTTTTTAATGTTTGTTTGGTGAAGCCAATGAAATGGAAACCATTTAAAGCTGCTACCAGTGACAGCTGTGATTATGAAAGTGTGACTTGATCTGCAGAGCAGCACCATGGGTGAGCCACCTGTGGAGGCAGTTTCAAGTCCTGGGTTCAAGTCCTGGCTCCTGCATGTATTGACTCTGGGGACTTGGACAAGTCACTTTTCCTCTTTCTTCAACCAGATTCCATCTTCTTGAAAATGAAGATGATATATTTCTCAGTACCTTTAAGATTGAGGAGAGTAAATTATTAATATTTGATGAGTGCTGACCATGTGTTAGACACCATGTTAAACACTTTGTGTAGATTATCTCAATAATCTCATGACAACTCTATGAGGAAGTACTATTTATATCCTCATTGTACAAATGGGGAAACTTGAGGATTAAGTAATGGGCCCAAAGTCATGGAGCTGGTAACCACCAGAGTTGGAACTGAGCTCACACTCGCTGATAACATGGTGTGCACTCAGTGCATGGTATATACTACTACTATTACTATTTCTGTATTTCAGAGATGATCTATGAGCCTGTATATTTTTAATGCCTTCTTCCTCTTGGAGCAAATCATAAAGAACTTATTAGAATTTAAAAAGGACTTTTGGGCAGTGTAGAGGGTCTCCAAGAATTGGAACATTAAAATCCCTTGAATAAGTTCTTTTACTGCAGAAATTTCTTTGGTTATTTTTATATTCTATAAATGCTTTTTTCTTTAGAGTCTTGGCATATCTAGTACCTGGCATTTATTTCTGGGAGTTTGATCAAACCACAGGAATAAAGAATCTGTCTATACGATGGTCCTTTGGCCATGTGTGGAAGGAAAAGTTTAGCCACCCAAAGGATGACTTAGTCTGCCTCTGGATGTGTCTGCTCACGGACATTCTCCTTAGGGTGTTTTTCAATCCCAAAGGCCTCAGAGCCACCTTCTCCCAGAAGAGGAAAAAGGCAAAGAAAGTCCCCCTTTCTTGTCTGTTCCCTTTTTCCAAGCATCAACAAAGTTGTACCCAATCTGTGCTCTTGTGATTTTTTAATCAAGAGAGATTGGTTTCCAAAGAAACTGAGACCCCAAGTTTTCAGTAATGAAGGATATGATTTCAGTGCCAAGAGATTTCTTAAAATCTGGATTTACAGAATGGGTAGTAACTAGGGGACTATCTGCTGCACTGAAGGATTCTTTATTTTACTAACATATGTTTTCCTTGGTTCTTTAAATCACAGCTTCCTAGATCTGCGGTACTCAGTCCAGTGTGTACATTGAAATTGCCTGGGGAGCTGTAAAAAAAAAAAAGAAAAGAAAAAGGAAAAAAATTCAGATACCCCAAGACCCGCCGTTAGGGATTCCAATTAAATTGCTCCAAGGTTTTAAACATATGTCACGGTTCAATCAGTTGATATAGAGGACCTATGTTATAAAGCTGGACATGTCACAGCAGTATAAACATCCCTAGAAAATTGTTCCTTTCCACATACTTACTTAGCTGTTGGAAATTTTTTAAAAGATTTATTTATTTATTTGAGAGAGAGAGAGAGAGAGAGAGAGAGTTGCAAGCAGAGGGGAGAGGCAGAGAGAGAGAGAGAGAAAATCTCAAGTGGACTCCGAGCTGAGTGGGAGCCAGACTCGGGACTCAAGCTCACGACCCTGAGATCAGGACCTGAGCCAAAACCAAGAGTTGGAAGCTTAACCGACTACGTCACCCAGGCGGCTCCAACTGTTTGAAATTTTAAAGGTCTACTTGTCAAACATGTATTGACTATGTATCAGATAAGATCCAGGCCAGCGTCCCTGCTGGTGGGAGTTCGTAGCCTACAGCAGCGGGCAGGCAGGGATGAGCACAGCCGTAGCTGAGGGGAAGCTCACATCTTTTCGATCCTTTGGCTTTGCTCTAGAATAGATCTAAAGGGACCCCATTATGGCCTGTTGCGATCTGGGCCAGGGCCCCCAAGTCCTAGCACTGAGTTGTCTATATTTGGTGACTTCTGATCTCCTGCTGAAAATCCTGTCCCTTCAGCCAAAAGGCCTCAAAGCCCTCTGCTAAGGCCCTGGCCACTGGGGCCCTTTGAGCACCATTAGCTATAAGGATTTTTGAGTTAATCACTGGCATGTGATTTGGTACATCTTGATCCCTTCTCTGTCCTCATACCGATAACTGGAATGTGATTTGGTACAGTCTGATCCCTCCCTTGACCCCAAGCCATCTGGAAACCCTTGGAGAGCGGGGGCGGGGGGGGGGGGGGGCGGCTGTTAAAGAATAACGCACCTGGCCTGGGTTGCCTTGGAGCGAATAAGTGACTGTCAGGGCCAGCTGGCAGGAAAGAGGAGAATGTTCCTGAAGAGTTCTTGATGGGAGTCTCCATACCCGGAAAGGGTCCCCTTCTAATACAGTTAAACAGACATCTAGTCCAGGACCCAGCAATTTCACTTCTAGGTATACAACAAAGATTAAAAAAAAAAAAAAAAAGTCCTTAAATCCAAAAAATTCATGCACAGGAATGTTTAAAGCAATTATATTCATAACATCTCAAAAATGAACAAATTTGAACACCATCGATAGGAGGATAGCTGAATAATTGTAGTTTATCCATATAATGAATGCTTTTTATCAACAAAAGGGAACGAGTTACTGATACACGTGGCAACACGGATGAATCTCAAAACCAAAACACACAAGAATATGTGATTCAATTTACATAAACTTCAAAATTAGAAAAACTAGGGACACCAGGGTGGCTCAGTCAGTTAACTGTCTGTCTTTGCCTCCGGTCGTGATCTCAGGGTTGGGAGATGGAGCCCTGTGTCCGGCTCAGTGCTGGGCATGGAGCCTGCTTCAGATTCTCTCCCTCCCCCTCCACCCCTTCCCCTACCACACGTGTTCTTTCTCAATCTAAAAAAAAAAAAAAAAAAAATTAGAAAGACAAATCTGTTGTGGCAGATATCAGAGTGGTGCTTATCTCTTGTTGGGGGTGTAGACTGGAAAAAGGCACAGGGTGCTGGAAATAATCTCTATCTTGATCTGGGTTGTGGTTCCACGGGTATAGTTATACACCTAAAACCACTGAGATGTACTTGTAAAATGTGTATTTTACTGTGTGTAACTTATACCTTGGTAGAGTACTATTGGAGTTTAAAGGGGGGAAAAAAGGAAGAAGGAAACATTTGGATTGTGATGGAAAAAAAGGAGGCCTTGAGACCCACGGGCTCAGAGACAGGGCCTTGAGATGATTAAAATCTGTATCGTCTACACCCCTGAAGTACAGAGCGTGTGCACAGTACGGGACATCGAGCCTTGGTGGTTGGGGAGAGGGAAGGGGATGACCAGTGACTGAGTGCCCCACACTCCAAGGAAGGGATCTTGAGGGTGATTCATGCTCCCTGTACCTCCTCTACAAACTGGCGTCGCATGCCTTGTCCTCTGTCTTCCTCTCTCTCGCCCTCCAGGAGCTCCAGAAATTCGAGCAGTTCATTTTTGCAGATCACACCAATATGATTCATGTGGAAAATGTCTATGAGGAGATTTTACATCAGAGCCTCCTTGATGAAACTCTGAAAGGTGAGGAAGATTTCCTTGGTCCTGGAGGGAACAGTAGATACAAGGGAGGACCCCTTCAAGGGGACCCAGAGAGGCCAGCTATGTTTCTCAACAGGTGTGAAAGGGGAATAGGAAATCACTACTGGTTTCTTGGGAAGACAGAGAAGAAAGGAGAGGAAAAAGAGGGGGACACCAGCCTTGACCGAGAGTCATGATCTGACACAGGCTATGTTGGCTCATTCAGTATTATTCCTTTGAATTACAAATGAGAACTCTGGGAGACACAAATTTTAAGCTTCATTTTTCACAGAAAACTGAGGTTTGTGGAGATTAAGGCTGGACTCTCTCATGAGCAGCTGTCTTCCTCCAGCTGCTCCAGACAGAACAAAGGAAAACAGGTGCTTTTAGCCATAGACTCCCAACCCCTCCCTGGGGCAGGAGGAGGTGACTCCAGGAGCACGGGTTGCCAGCTGCCTCCTCAGCACATTCTTCACGTCCTGTCAGCTGGACAGAAGCAGATACAGGGCGCCGACACAGTTCTCTGTGAACCTTGTTGGGACTCCAGCACCCCCAGCACCCCCTGTCCTGCGGAGTTAGGCCTTGCTTGTGATAGGACCGTGGACAGGACAACTTTGGTAGAAATATGCTGGACAAGGCTATTCCCCAAAACCGTAGGCCTGAAACGTGTCTGGTCTCCATGGCGAAGGTGTTAGGATCAACAAAAACCCTCCACAAAGAAAACAGGCAAAGCATGAGCCCCAGTAGCTAATCCAACGAGATGAGAAATGTAAAGACGTCAGCCCAGCGTCTGACAGGAAGGGTTCCCTCAAGCCCACTGCCATTCCATCATGGCACCTTTCCGCCAGTTAGGAAAAGGCTCCCTTTCTCCAGACACCTGACTGTGGTCCGTCCAAAAACATTGCTGTGATATACCAATTTTATCAGAGTAGGATGTTCTACTGCTTGTTCCCGGAAATTTCTGCCAAATACACAGATCTATGCTCTCTCTGACGTGAGGGGGCGCCCCCTTGGATATGATACCATTGGGCACCGCACAGCCTGCACAGCTATCGTGGAGGCCTGTGGTCAAAAATGTCGGCTGCTATCGTTGTCATCGTTGTCTTGAGTCCTCTCAAGTTTTCTGAGACTGAGCTAGAAGCACGTAGGTCTTCATTCTAGACACTACAGGTCAACAAGGCTCTCTCTGCATGCTTGGTACTGAGTACCCAGCACACATTCGAGACGGGACTACGAGAAGCAGCAGAGAGATGTAGGCCTGCCCCTGCAGCGGGGCCTCTGTGGCTGATACAGACAATACTATTCTAGGTTGCGAGCTCCTTGAAAGCAAAAGCCCTATTTTATTCATCTTTGGATTCTCAGAGCCTGTCCCATAGCGGTTGCCCAGTTTGCACCCATGAATGAGGGAAGGAGTGAATGAATGAACACGGCAGAGGTCCAGAGTAGAAAACGAGTTTGTGGGCTTTGATCATGAAGGAAGGAGACCGGGAAGGAGGGCGGGGGCGGGGGGGGGGGTATCAGCTGGAATTTGACATTGAGAAATGTGGGTAGTTAGAAAAAGCTGGGAAGGGAGTTTGGCTTCTGGATAACATCGGAAAGTGTGGGTGGCCGGGGCAGAGGGTCAATGTCATGTTCTGTTTTCTGGTCTCTCCCAGTGATAAAGGAAGCTGCTCTCCTGAAGAAACACAACTTATTTGAAGACAACATGGCCTTGCCCAGTGAAAGTGTGTCCAGCTTAACTGATCTAAAAACCCCCTCAGGGTCAAACCAGGCCAGCCCTGCCAGGAGAGCCTCGGCCATTCTGCCAGGAGTTTCACAGAGCGAGACACTGAGTAACGAAGTGTTCCAAGAGTCAGGGGAGAAGAAGCAGCCTGGGGTCCCTAGTCCGTTGGCCAAAGGAGAAAGTCTGTCCTTCCCTGTCCCCACCCCTCCCCCAGATGGCACCAGACAGGGGACTCCAAGTACGGATGACCCTGTTGTGGCTCTTGTGACTACAGAGGACACGGCAGGAGCCCTGGGCACATCCTCGTCAGAGCTGGAGTTTGGAGGGTCTCCTGAGGACGGAGAACCCACCCACAAAAAGCCAGAAGCCAGCTCTGACTTGGGCTCCTTAAAGGAGCTCAGAAATTTGTTGACGGTGACCATTGAAGTGCCAGTGGAATCGGCCACCCTCGAGATTGAGAATGCTTCCCATGAAGAGACCCGTGCTCCCCCAGAAATTGAAAAATTAGAGGAAACAACCCAGATCGACACGGAGGCCGATCAAGCAGCTGCCTCCAGTCAAGACAGCTGTGAAGGGAGCGAAATCAGTGAGAGGGAGGCCCATTATCCCCCTCCGGAGGCGGAGGCAGAGGCTGGCAGGGTGGAGTTGGGAGGGTTGCTGGGGGCTCAGTTGGCCTGTGAAGGGCTCACTGAGGGCGCCAGCAGCACAGGCCCCCCAGAGCCGCAAGCAGAGGCCAGGGAGCCCACTGAGAGGGAGCTCACAGCGGGGGCTTCCAGACCGGATGCCCAGGAAGGAGAAGGGGTCAAGGCCATGGTGGAGGGTGAGGCCAGGCCACAAGAAGGTTGCATTTCCAGTGCTCACCACACCTGCCTCCATGAGAGCCAGGGTTCAGCGGAAGAAGCCCTGGGAGGGACCAGCAGCCTGGCCCAGACTACCGCTGCCGGTGCGGATACAGAGAAGGTTAAGCCTGCTGGTGTTCACGAGTGCCAGTGGGTAGTGGAGAATGCTCCAAACTTTGATCTGCTCGGTTCACAAGAGGCGGGGGAGAGTACCCTAGGGCAGGCCTCCGAAGAGTGAAAGGGACAATTTGGCATAAGTATTTCTTTGCACAAACTCAGCCAAAGGTTAATAGGTATGGGTATGCTTAGGGGTTGCACACAAGCTGTTACCGAAAAAAAAAAAATTTAAGTACTTCCTTAACATGTGTAATGAAACCAGAGGAAGTGCACACGGGCCATGCACACTGAGGCAGACCTTTGTGAACTGAACTGCTCTACAGTGATTTACAGCTTCAGCATTTTGATGGGACGTGTTTGGGGTGAGAGGCAGCTGAGGGTGTCGGAGGGAGGCAGTGGTGTTCCAGTGAAGACGAAGAAAACAGTAGGTGCACAGTTTCCAATACACTGCACGTTTTCCTCTAATGTACTTCGAGGCTTTTTAATTTTGGGTAAGAATGCAAAGGTGTATTGGAAATCCGGCTTCACCAACCACTAGCAACCTCGCTGGCTCTGAAGGGCTCAGCATCCATCCACAGCCAGACTGCGGGCAGGGGTCGCTGGAAAAGAAGGGCAGCGCCTGAGAGATTATGCCCGAGACAGCCCTGGGAAAGCGGAGCAACAGTGGAGGAAGGTTGTGGTCTGTGGGGCTGTCTGAGCCTGTTACTAATTCTGCTATCAATTTCTTGTTAATTAATCACGTTGATTCTTATTAATTAATCACCTTTTGGGGAAATTCAGATGTGGCAAGGAAATTTCCTTGGCGTGTTTAAGCCTGAAAGCATTCCAGACTAGACTTCGACTGGGCGGACAGGCCTTAGCTAATGGTTGAGTGTAAAAGACTACAGGTTAAACAAGCATTATTCGAGTACCTGCTGTATGCCACGGGCTGTGCTGGGCATAGTGACAACAGCAACAACAACAACGAAGGAGAAAGGGGAGGAGGAGAAGGAGGAGGAAGGGGAGGAAGAGGAGGAGAATAAAAGATAAAGTGCTTTGTCTGTCCTAAATTAAAAGACCTACAGGAATTTAAAGGAAAAAATATGCCAATTTTCAAACCATGACAAGTTTGTCTATCCGTTGAAATGGTCCTGATTCATTCCCAGAAGGGGAATAAAGTGAATAAATGGTAAAGAAAGAAAGAGGAAAAAAAGAGGAAGAAAGAAAGGAAGGAAGGAAGAGAGAAAGGAAGGAAGAAAGAAGAAAATGAAAAGCCCAGATGTACATCGTCAAGTTCCAATCAAGTTTCAAAGATGTCACCAAAAGTGGAAATCATTTGTTTGGTCATTCAGTAAGTTAACTGAGCCCCTATGATGTTCCAGGTGCTACAGATACTGTAGTGAAAAAGACTCTGTTCCTCTCTCCTGGAATTTACACTTCCATGGAAATAGACACAAATACATCTCCTCAATGGATAGTGACCTAGAAATGTTAATGTTAGAGAACTTACTTGCAGAAGATCAAAAAGCTGTGTTCTGTTATCCTTCCAAAAAATACTGTATCATTTCCTAGAAGTTTAGTCCCTGGTGGTACCTCTTGAGATTTCCTTCCACAAATTTTAATATCAGATCCCAACATACTGTCCTAAAAGCTTGTTTTGATCATCCTCAGCAAGTTTATATCAGCTGTTTAGAGAATTTTCCCCACAGTTTAACTCTTCCAGCAGGAATTAAAATCTTCCTCTGTCCAACTCCCCATGAAGAATTTCTAGGTGATAGGGGCACCTGGGTGGCTCAGTGGGTTAAGCCTCTGCCTTCAGCTTAGGTCACGATCTCAGGGTCCTGGGATCGAGCCCTGCATTGGGATCTCTGCTTGGCGGGGAGCCTGCTTCCCCCTCTCTCTCTGTCTACTGCTCTGCCTACTTGTGATCGCTCTCTGTGTCAGATAAATAAACAAATAAATCTTTAAAAAAAAAAAAGGAATTTCTAGGTGATAAAGAATGAATAATAATCAGTATCATTATAGTCTCATATTGAATCACATCTATGAAGGGTCTCCTTAGAAAGAAAGAAGGTAGAGACCCCTCCTCCCTGGTCCCTGCAGTACCCAGTGCTCACTCTTACCTTGCACTGAGCTCAAAGTACTGAAATTGTGTCTACTTCCCATCTCTTCTGGGGCTTCTCTCTTCAAGGACAGAGACTGGGGTTTATTAATCATGTGTGCTTCCTGCTAGAGATACACAGCCTTGAGTAATGGCTCCCTGCCTTCTCAAGTCATTTTCATGTCCCTAGTGCCTTGCACAAGAACCAGCTGGTGTCGAGCTGCTCAAGACACGTGAGACCCGCTTACCCCGCTACGCTACTGTGCTGGGGCTATTTGGGGCTTGCTGTCAGGCAGGGAGACATTTTTAATTGGGCTTTCTGCCCTTGGGGAGCCTTCCCTTAGGTCAAGTCCAAAGTCCAAGAGGCAGACAGCCAGATGGTCAGATGCGTTGCCCAGTAAGTCTGGGAGCCAAAGGAGGAGTGCGCAGCCTCACCAAGGACTGCCCTTCTCTTCAGGAGAATGTCAGCGAGCAAGGAGGTCCCAGCCTTGCTCCAGCCCATGCTGGAGCTTCCCAGGTTCCTTCCTTTGCTCCCCTCAGGGCTTCTCGGACCCCTTGGAAAATTAAGAAATTTTTCCAACCCTGAAAGAAAGCAGATCTGCATTGGATGGATGACTGTCAGTGCCCTCCCTTTACCCATCCCATGGGCCAGAGGGCACTGGGCACTACATGGTAGGACATACTTGAGAACACAAAGAATTTTTCTGTACGTATTTCACAAAAGACAAGTTCACTAGACTAAGTGGGATGATTGTGCCATCTAAAGATGGAACAGGAAAATAAAGTTCATTAAAAATATTTCTTATTCATTTTAACATGCTGAATGAAGTAACTTCACATTACTATGAGTTTGTCTCATTTTTAATAGACTTGTATATGTTGCTTCAGTGGCTTCCAGGTTAGAGCAAGGTTATTATAATTTAATTGATCAGCATGCAGATCTCCTGCGGCTGCTCTGGGGAATCTCTCCTCCAGGCAAATCCATTAGAAATGCATAAAGCCTCAGGACATGGTTTTTGGGAAAAATTCCATGACTTCAAACGAGTCATGTTACTATTGACCTTTAACAAAGAGAATATTTGCCTTGAAAAAAAATTATCTTGTCATTTTTTTTCCTTTGCAACTTAGAGTGGAGATGGTGGTGCTTTGAATCCCGCAGAGAAAACTCTTTAAAAAAAAAAAAAAAAAAGAGGTATTTTGGACACCACAAGGGTAAGATTCCAATCTGTCCAAAAGCTTTTATAAAGAGTCTGCCTGTGAAAAACTGCAGGTCCCTGGGCCTGATCTTCTACATTTTATTGCAAAGTTTCTCGAGTCTGGTTTTGTAACCCTCCAGACTGGAGTCTGTGATTTCCAAGGGTTTCACAGTTCTGCCAGATGAGTGAATTTCACTCTTTATCAAAAGTGCTAGGTGCTGTATGCTCCATAGCAGTTTTAATCTGGGGAAGGGAAGGACATCACTGACTAAAACGATCAGGTTCACTAGGTTAAAAAGTTGGCTATATGTGTCTTCATACTTTAGTATAAGTAAGCGGGTTTGGGGACTTGCCTTCTGAAGTCTGGAACTTCAAGAAAAAAAATCTACACTGTGGATGGGTTTTTCTGGTCACTATATAAAGCAAATAGACTTAAAGCACTTTGTAACCACATATTTACTCTGCCAAGTGCCTATATTCCAATAAAATGTTCATCCTTGAAGAGTTGTCCAGATGTCATATTTATTTAGAATGGGGGTGGTTTCATCTTTCAAGCCAATGTCATACTTGAGCTGGGAGGAACGGCCCTCAGAAAGGTGAGTCACTGTTGTTGCACTATGGAACTTTCAATTTTCTTTTGTCAGAAGGGAGTCCACAGAGAAGTCACTTAATTGTCAGATGTGATTATGCTTTGAAAATTATGCTTAATTCTATAAGAATTGGAATATGTCTATATTTATGGGCAATTACTCTTGGCACAATTGAACTACTTTTTAAACAAGTTTATCTTCAATGGGTAACACTAAGCAAAACATTCCTTCTTTCTATGATCATAAATAAAACAATATTACTCACCAATAGCCACAGTTGTTCATTCCTCTGTGAATTCATTCATCCAAAAAATAATGATTGCCTATCTATTATATGCAGGCACTCTAGTGGGTACTGGAGAAGCAGAGGTGAATAAGGTGGATATGGTCCCTGACATCGGCAAACTCAAATTCTCATGGTAGACAAGGCCAGGGAGAGCCTAGAATGGGTATTTGCTAACTTGTTTGGCATGCAACTTGTCTATAACAGTTTTAACTCTTCCTAAGCCAACAGCTCCAGCCAGGAAAGGAAGAAACATTGGAGAAATCAAGCCTCGCAGGGATGGGGACACTGGGTGTGGCAAAGACTCTACCACTCCGTCTCCTTCCATACCAATCTCCCAACATGCAAGAATCATTCCCAGAGTGGCTCCTCCAGAACTTCTATTTAGGGCCAAGGATCAGAATGGAATTGGGGGTACTAATTCCCATTGGAGAGTCCATTAATTTGAAATGTCTTCTACATAGCTTTTTCTTAGGTTATATGTTTATTTATGTGATTTGGGTGGAACTCATGGACGTCTTGGGAGGAGTCCATTAAATAAAGCTCTTCTGTCAGCTGGGCTTGGAACCACTCCTATTTGAACACCTCTCAACCTTTGCTGTAGTCTTCCCTTTTCCAAGAACTTCTGACCCTCCTTTCTCAATCTGGCCAATTCCCACTTTCCCTGTAAGAGTCAGGGCAAGTCTGGACAAACCTTCCCTTCCCAATAACACTTTGCTGAGCTGTCACTCTCATTTACTTGCCCACTTCTGCTGTTCTCTCTCACTTTATTGCAGCCATCTACCGTCTCTGTGCCGCCCTGTCTTCAATCTTTGTATCCCTAGAGTTTACATCCTTGTGTACAGAAAGCACGCAATAAGTATTGAACAAATGAATATCTATCACCAATCCCAGAAGTAGGAGACAAGTGGCGAGGTAGCTCCCATGATTGCCTGACACAGCATAACGGTCTATGAAGCTGAAAACTCATCTTCAGCCTACTGAGAGTTCTGTCTTCATGATGGAATTTCATGGCATCTTTGTGCACACCTGTCTCTCTGGGAGAGAGTATTAGAGTCAAGTCACCCCCACATCAAGCTAGCTAGTAGGAACCACTCCTAGGTTTCAGAACAGGAGTCTCCACTGGATTTTCCTGAGGTCCCTATGATGTCAACAAGGCAAAAAGTTAAGTTTAT